CAGTAATCCATCAACCTATTAAAAAGATTAATCCACTGATGAAGTTACAGCTTTTATGATCTAATCATTTCACCTCTGAACATTCTTGCATTATCATATGAGCATCTCATGAAGCATCTCATACTCAAAATATAAACTATGCAAAGTAAATAGGGGTAAAAATCATCTCTGGGCACCATAATATTGGCTACAAGTAAATTTCTACCAGAAAGCCATGCATAAGGAGGTGCTTCATTAAAAATACAAAATTGGATTAGGCTTTCATTTGTAGGAGTAATTTAATTAGGCAGAAGGGAATAGAGATATTTCAGGTGGATTTATTAACTAAGCAAAAAAAAAATGGTAGTGGGAAAGTACATAGCTCATGGAGAAGTAGTGATTGCTGTGGTGAACTCCCAATGTTTGCACCATTATGACTAAGATATTTATTGTCCTGGTTGTCAAGAGTGTTGATGACTGACAGCTCATAACTAAGTTCTCAACATTATCCTAAACTGAAGAGATCCTGACACTAGATATGGGGGCAGCCCACACTCAGTGTTTAGCTGATTCAGGATTGTAAAGTCTTATCTCTGAAGAGCTATCCGAGCTCCAGAGTACCCCAAAGCACTGGCTGAGGCCTTCAATGTGATTATGTCATAGCCCAAGTTCTTTACTTGTGCAATCCTGCTTCTTTCCCCTACCACCCATGCCATAAGTGTTGATCAAATGGACATACTCCAATAAACCTTGCTTTAAGAATTCTGAGTTTGCTTCTCTAGAGAATCCAAGTTGTGAAAAAGCAGATACTGAGAAGACCATTCTGACTGCATTCAATTGTAGAGAACCTGCATTATTCATTTGACAGGCATATATGGAACTCTATTCTGTACCAGGCACTGTTCTAGCACTGGGAACATGGCAGTGAGAAAAACAAGTCTCTTCTCGCATAAGTCTGATGTTTTGGTGGGGTAAACCTAAAGAAACAGAATATCAAGTGATGACAGGTGCTAGGACACAGGTGGAATATGTGCTTAAGAGTGTATTAGATTACTTAGATAGCTTTCCATAAAAAGGCTCTCTAAAGAGGTGACATGAGTATAAAGCCAAATAACAGAATGATTCATAATGGCATCTAGAGGAGAATATTGCAGACAGAGTGAACAGCAAATACAGAAGACCCTGTTACAGAATTGTACTGGGCATGTTTGGGGAAGAAGAAATGAGATCAGAATAGTGTTAAGAGATGGAAGAGTCAGATCATATTTTAGTGTAAGCAATACATGTTATTCTAAGTGAAATGAGAAAATATTGAAGGGCTTTGAATAGAATGGTCCCATGATCATAATCCCATTTTGAAAGGATCCTTCTACTTCTTATATAAGGAAAATATTGGAAAGGAGCAAGAGTAGGTGTGGAGAAGCTATTAGAAGACTGTTAAAGGAGTTTAAGCCAAGAATATTGACGATATTGATTTAAGGTTACCACTTGTCATGGTTTTCCTGGGACTGAGGCCTTTCCCTGCAGTCTTGAGCAAATGGGGACAGTTGATCACCTAATATCAATTGTGTTATAAATGAGGAGAGAATAGATTCAAGATATATTCTAAAGGTTGAGGAGGCAGAGAAAAAGGTTTGGACAGTCAGGGCAGAGGCAAAACACAGAGCTTCTTAAAAGTCAGGACAAGAGGGTTGAACTTTTCAAACATTCATATGGCATTAGTCAAACATTCATATGGCAATAGTTTGCAGCCTGCATTGGACTTTGGAAACACTAAAACTAAAGAGGTGTTTCATGAGCATATTTTTAAAAAATATGACAGAAGTGGTTAGGGCTTGATCTCAAACACTGTGGAGCTGATGGTGAGAATGGAGGTGGTGGGGATGGTGGTGCTGAGCTCATGGTGTTGGGTAGCAGTGGTGATAGTGGCAACATCATATGGAGGTGGAGGTCATGCTGGAGGTGGAGATAGTTGAGGTGGTTAAGGTAAAGCTTACACTGATTATAAAAGAAAAAGGAAATGAAAGAAAATGGAGTCTATGACATATTTACAAAAAAAAACAAGACTTGTGAGTTAAATGAATACAGGAAAACAGAGAAAAGGGGAATTAGTCACTGAAAACAGATTAATTAGTGACCCTGACAGGAAGGGATGTTGGAAAGGAGAACACTCAAGGGGAGGACTTTAGCATAATTAATTTAAAGTGAGAGTGGAATATCCAAGTGGATGATGGGTTGCACTATTAATTTTTATCACTCAACATGGCCACTTAGTAGTAAAGAAAACATGATTTTGTGTCAAAAGACCTTGCTTCAGTTCCTCACTGGGATATTATGAAAACTGTAACTTCTGAGTTACGAAGTCTTCACTTATAAGTGGACATATCAGCACCCTCCACGGTGTTGTGCAGAAAACTAGATGGAATTGTTAGGAAGTAGTAGGATCTGCTATTTAGATTTGGTTATCTTTTTTCCAAGAAAATCCGCCCTCCCATCATCATAACCTGAAAGGAAACTTTTTTTTTTAACAATTTAGAAAATCTTGGTTTCTAGAACTTTGTAGTAATAAAGTGTTGTAAATTGATGTTTATGTATTGCTACCAATGAGCCAGAGAGAGGGAAATTATATCAGAGAGTGGCCATGTCTGACTTGCCTATTGCAAGGGTTAGAGTAACCCGACCCTGCAGCACAGACAGCTCCCCAAGGAGGCTGTCCAGGAGAACAGGCAGATTCCACCACAAAGAACCCTCCACCTAATGAGCATTTTGAACAGCAATTTTGTTCATTTTCATTTCTCTTGTCTCATAAAGTTCAGATGAATTTGCCACACTTTGCGTTAGTTTCCATATTAACTCCCTCTCTTATTCTCAGAGATTATAAAAAGTAATATATTCCACTACACTCTCCTGGTGTGTCAATTAATTTCTAAGGGTGAGTGGGCACATCAAGTGAACTTGGCACATTACAAGAAACTCCCTATTGTTTTATTCTAATGAAAGGGAGTTATGACCTCAGTAATTTCAAACAGGTGTATTATCTAAAGTTTCCACCTATTTACACTTGAAATGTATGGGAAGTGATATTCAGTCAAGGACCCAGCCTTCAGGAAGGGTACAGTCGTGTGGGAGAGTACAGTCGTGTGGGAGAATTAAAGACATGCAAACAACAATAGAAATACAAACTTTTCTGCCAGAATGAGTGGTGTACACTGGTAATCCCAGAGGCTAGCCAGGCTGAGGCAAGAGGATCGCAAGTTCAAAGCCAGCCTCAGCAATTTATCAAGGTCCTCAGCAACTTAATGAGACCGTGACTCAAAATAAAAAATAAAAAGGGGATAGGCTCAGTGTTTAAGTGCCCTGGTACCAAAAACAGCTCTTATTAATATAGAGTAGTAAGATATAAGATGCTATGGGGACTTGAGAAATTTGAGAAAAGAAAGAATAGAGACCATAAACACTTGTGGTATTGTTTCCAATAGAGGCATTACTTCAGCAGAAAGTATTACCTTTTCTCCTTCTCTCCCTACACCTTACCTACAGATAAATCATACCTTTTCTTTCTTGAAAGATGAATATAATGAGTATCCCAAAATAAGTAGTTATACTTCCTTACATTGTTAAATTACCTCTAGGCAGTTATTTCTACATTGAAGACTGGCTGGTGTCGCATACATGTCAGATTATATATAGATAAGGCCAAATATAATCCTCATCTGAGTATATAGGCTTCCATACCTCATTCCCTCTGTACCTCATTCCTATGTTAAAAGTTTATCTGCAGAAGTCTGACACAACTGTTGCCTTCTTCTGTATCAGAATTCTCATTTTGTAAGGGAAAACACTAAGGAACAACTCTGATTTGACATAAAGCTAATTCCTTGTGTTACAAAGCAGCAGGGAGCCTCCTGGATCTAAGAAGGGCACAGCATACTCCTC